AACCCTTGACAACTTCACTCTTCTCTGTTTATCATGATGTTGCTTATTGGTCCAGTCGTGAGGACTTTTGTTTTCTTTGTTCTGAAATGTAATCCATACTGAAGGGTGTAGTCTTTGATCTTCATCAGTAAGTGCTTCAAGTCTTCCTCACTTTCAGCAAGCAAGTTTTGTCATATGCATGTTGCAGGTTGTTAATGAGTCTTCCTTCAATCCTGATGCCACATTCTTCTTCATATGGTCCAGCTTCTGATTATTTGCTCAGCATCCAGATTGAATAGGTATGGTGAAAGGATACAGCCCTCACCCACACCTTTCCTGATTTTAAACCACGCAGAATTTCTCATTCAGTTCAAATAACAGCCTCTAAGTCTGTGTACATGTTCCCCATGAGCACAATTCAGTGTTCTAACTCTGGTAGCATAGTGCCTAAGGCACTTGACTGCTAACCAGAAGGCTGGTGGTTCAAACCATCAGCCACTCCTCGGAAGGAAGGTTGGGCAATCTACTTCTGTAGTGATACTGCCTTGGCAACCCAAGGAGGGGTCGCTATGAGTTGGGTCCTACTCGACGGCACATAACAACAACAACAACAACAGTATTCCCATTCTTTGCAATGTTATCCATAATTTGTTATGATCCACACAATCAAATGCCTGTGCATAGTCAATAAAGCACAAGTCAACATCTTTCTGGTATTCTCTGCTTTCAGCCAAGATCCATCTGACATCGGCAATGATATCCCTCGTTCCATGTCCTCTTCTGAATCCAGCTTGAATTTCTGGCAGTTCCTTGTCAATGTACTGCTGCAACCATTTTTAAGTTATTTTCAACTAAATTTTACCGTGTGCGATATTAATGATATTGTTAAATAATTTCTCATTCTGTGGGATCACCTTTCTTTGAAACGGGCATGAGTATGGGTCTCTTCCAGTCAGTTGGCCAGTCCCAAATTTCTTGGCATAAATGAGTGAGTGCTTTCAGGGCTGCATTCGTTTGTTGAAACATCTCAAGGGGTATTCCGTCAATTCCTGGAGGCTTGTTTTTCACCAATTCCTTCAGTGCAGCTTGGACTTCTTCCTTCGGTACCATCAGTTCTTGATCCTACGCCACCTCCTGAAATGGATGGACATCAACCAATTCTTTTTGGTACAGTGACTGTGTATTCCTTCCATCTTCTTTTGATGCTTCCTCTGTTGTTCAATATTTTGCCCATAAAATCCTTCAGTATTGCAACTTGAGGCTTGAATTTTTTCTTCAGTTTTTTTCAGCTTGAGAAATGCCAAACATGTTCTTCCCTTTTGGTTTTCTAATTTTAGGTCTTTGCACATTTCAATATAATATTTTACTTTGTCTTCTCACGTCATCCTTTGAAATCTTCTGTTCAGCTCTTTTACTTCATTTCTTCCATTTACTTTAACCACTCTACATTCAAGAAGCTTTGGTGGTACAGTGGTTAAAGCATTCTGCTTCTAACCAAAAGGTTGGTAGTTCAAACCCACCAGTCGCTCCATGGAAGAAAGATGAGGCAGTCTGCTTCTGTAAAGATTTACAGCCTTGGAAACCCAATGGGGCGATTCTACTCTGTCCTATAGTGTCACTATGAGTTGGAATCAACGCAGTGGCAGTGGGTGGGTACTCTATGTTCAAGGAGAAGTTTTAGAGTCTCTTCTTACATCCATTTTGGTCTTTCCTTTCTTCCTCATCCTTTAATGACCTTTTGCTTTCTTCAAGTGTGATGTCCTTAATGTCACTCCACAACTCATCTGTTCTTCGGTCATTGGTGTTCAAGCCATCACATCTATTCCTGAGATGGTCTCTAAATGCAGTTAGGCTATACTCAAGGCCATACTTTGGCTCTCAAAGTCATTCTTTAGGGGATTTGTTTTCATTTTCTTCAGCTTCAGCTCACACTTGCATATGAGCAGTCGATGTTCTGCTGCTCGGTTGGCCCCTGGCCTTGTTCTGACTGATGACCATGACCTTCCCCATCAAGTCTTCCCACGGGTGTAATTGACTGGATCCCTGTGGACTCCATCTGGCTAGGTCAATGCATGGTTCAAACCCACCAGCCACTCCACGGAAGAAAGATGAGGCAGTCTGCTTCCACAAAGATGTACAGCCTTAGAAACCCAGTGGGGGTCACTATGAGTCTGAATCAACTTGATGTCAGTGAGTTTGGTTTTTGAGGTCCATGCATTTAGCCACCAGTTCTGTTGTTGAAAAAAGATATTTCTGATGAATAGGTCATTGGTCTTGCAAAATTCTATCATGGGATCTCCAGCACTGTTTCTTTCACCAGGGCTGGATTTTCCAGCTATAGATCCTTCCTTGTTTCCAACTTTCATATTCCAGTCACAATACATCTTGACTGCATGTTTGATCAATGTGAGACTGCAGAAGTTGGTAAAAGCTTCAGTTTCTTCGTCTTTGGCATTAGCTGTTGGTGCATAAATTTGAATAATAGTCCTATTGACTGGTCTTCTTTGTAAGGATATGGATATTATCCCACCACTGACAGTGTTGTACTTCAGGATAGATCTTGAAATGTTCCATTTCTCAGTCCTGGTGTAGTAGACCAGATGAAGTACAAAGGTGAAAATCGGGGTTTGGTGAATTCCATTGAGTTATTGCATTTAATAATCCTAGGACCTGTAACAAAGCCAGAAGATCTCCAAAACTGGAGCTCTAAATCTCCCTAACCATTTTCAATTCTTCACACACATCCAGAATCTACACCTCATCCCATTCCACGGTTTGGAAACCAACTCTCCCTTAAGTGGTAGGAGGAGACCTGGCAAGTTTGCTTTCCTGTCTGGTGCACCCAGCCCCAGCACTCCCATGTGTGCCTCGGGTCTTGTTAACAGCTCTGTGTCATTGGCCCTTGGTAGGGTCAGCTGGTTTGCCCTCCCAGGAGAGGTAGCCTGTGATGTTGTTCAACCCAGCAGGATGGAGCCTGGGACTGGTCACCTGAAATATCACACACCAACATTGCTGCATTTGCCCTTAACCAACTTCAGTCTTATGGGAAAAACTGTGTGTAGAGCAGACCAAAGAAGCCATGGTGAACAGCAGCAGGTGGCCCTTCCTTCCTGCGCGCCCCGCCCGCACCCAGTGAGTGGCCGGGGTGTGGATTTTACTCTCCCTTTTTTCAGAATGGGGCGAGCAGAGTCCTTCCCGCCTCTAGTGGGTCTTTTTCACTGGCTGTTTTAAGACCGTCCGTCGTTTTCGACTTCGAGAATTTGACGTAGATATGGTGGTGGAGTTTTCCTCGTGTTTCTTTTGCTTGAGGTTCACTGAGTTTCCTGGATCTGCGAGCTTATAGTTTTCATTGAATAATTTGGAAAGCATTCAGACATTCTTTCTTTTTTCCTTTTTTTCTGTCGCCCTCCATTCTCCTTCAGGGGCTCCAGCTACACATTGATGCTTTGTTTATTTTTTCCAAGTCATTTTGCTGCTTGTTTAATTTTTTGGATAATTTCTATCTCTATGTCTTCAAGTTCACCAAGTTTTCCTTCTGCAATGTCTAATTTGCTATAAAACTCAGCCAGTGTATTTTAAGTTCAAACTTTGTATTTTTAATTTTTTAATATTTCCACATCTCTCCTGAACATGCTTATAGTTTTAATCTACCATCTTGAACACATGAAATATAGTAAAATATAGTAAAAATTTCATTTTTACTATATTTATTATAGTAGTGTTCTTTTCTATTAATTATATTATATTAGTATTATATTGGTGTCTTTTCTACTAATTCCATCATTTGTGTCATTTCTATGCTGACTTTGATCAGCTGGTTTTTCTCCTCACCGTGGGTCACAGTCTCTTGCTCCTTAGCATGCCTGGTAATTTCCTTGCTGGAGAGCAGACATTGTGAACTTCGCCTTCCTGTGCACATTCTTGCACTTCGCACATATCCCTGAGCTTTGTTCTGTGCACAGTTACTTGACAGCGGTTGACTTTTTCGGGTCTTGATTTTAAGATTTGTTAGCGAGGACCCGCTAGCTGTGACTATAGCTGACTTTACCACACTATGAAGGCAATCTCATTCTGAATACTCACATGGTTTTTCGCTCTGGCTGATGTGAGAAGGAACTATCTCAGCCCTGTATGACTCCGACGATTGTTCCCACGTTCCCTTCAGATGGTTCTTTTCCCTGACTTGGATAGTTTCCTCACACAGAGACACTGATCAGTGCTTAGCTGAAGCTGTGGGGAAGGGGGACCCTTGGCAAACCTTCAGGAAGCAAACATGTGCTCTCTCTTCAGTCTCAATCTCTCTTTCTCTGTGTATCTCTCATACACACACACACACACACACACTTTCTGAGGGACTAGCTGCTGTCTGGTGCACATAGGGTTGTGTTACAGCTTACCCAGCTTCATGACTCCTGCTCCTACAACTTCCTGGCCTCTCTCAAAGACCCAGACCAGTGATGTCTGGTGCCCAGGACAGTCTCACATGTTCTCCTGAGTATATTGGCTCCCCGAAGCCAATGCTGAAACTGGAGCTGGGCTGATGCCTCCCACGTCCTTGTAGCCATGTTTGTCCCACTAACACTCGCTTGAAGCCAGGCTTCACCAGGTCTACAGGTGATGCTACCTACTCAACTCTGTCCCTCAAGGCTCCTGCCCTCCTCCCAAGGATCAGTCCCTTGAAAGGAAGGAAGGAAGTATGGATGGATGGATGGGAGGATGGAAGGATAGATGGAAGAATGGATGGATGGATGGATGGAAGGAAGGAAGGATGGATGGAAGGATGGATGGATGAAAGGAAGGTTGGATGAATGATGGATGGATGGATGGAAGGAAGGAAGGATGGATGGAAGGATGGATAGATGAAAGGAAGGTTGGATGAATGATGGATAGATGGATGGATGGATAGGAGGATGGAAGGATAGATGGATCAAGGCCCAGGCTGCATTCCGTGTCTCCAGCACCGGTACCTGAGTGCACACAGTGCACCTGATACAAATACCCAGGACCCTTTTCCGTTTCAGAATCTCCCTTTATACCTCTGAATCCATGAAGGACCTGTCATGCACAAAAGTACCTCGGTGCTCTGCCCACAAGGACAGACAGACAGTCCCTGTCACCATCCTGCTCTGCAAGTCACAGAGCAGCCAGGCTGCTCTGGTCCCCAAGGAACACAAGATGTTCATGGAGGAAGCCTACAATGCAGGTAATCACTGGTCCTGGGATTCAGATGGGATGAGGACCCAGATGGGGTCAAGTTCTGGAAGATCTCACCGTGCCTCTCCACCTGGCATTCCTGGGGTGAGCACTAGAGGAAGTGCCCCTGTGGGAACTTGGGGATGCCAAGGAGTGAAGACATAGTGAGGCTTTCACTGTACTCCCTGTACCCCCTCCGTGGCCTCTTGATGCCCCCTATGGCACCATTCAAAGCCTCAAAATCCTCCATATCACACCCCATGCTCTGTTCTCCCCTCTTATTCTTTAATCTCAGAAGCTCAGCTTAGGCCTGGCCCTTGCCCTCCAGTGTTTTAAATTGCCACCTCCTCTGAGAAGTTCTCTTGACTCTCTCTCCATCTTAGTCGAGGTTCACTGCCCTTCCCCAGTCTGTGCACCCAGGGCCTTTTTACACACCTCCCCCACTGAACCAAAGTCCACTTATACTGGGTAGGGCATCCCCTGGGCTACAGGTCCCTCGGGCCAGAGCTGATTCTACAGTCACAGCCCTAGGTCCACCCGGAGTGAACATCAGTGAGTGCTGGATGCCTGGGTGGAGGTGGAGGGATGAAGTAATGAGTGGGTGAAGGGACGGAGGTGATGGGGGGGGTGAGTGAGTGGATGCAGCAACAAGTATAGATAAATGGATTGATAGGCAAACATCCATATGGATGAATTATGGCTGGATAGACAGATGGACAGACGGATGGACGGATAAGTGAATGATGGCTGTATAAAGGGTGAATGCAAGGAGGTTGGGTCCATGGCAGGATGAAACATGAATGAGTGGGTGGGGATAACAGATTTCCTGTGTCCCACTCCTTATCCCAGAAGGACCGTTTGGACAGTGGGGAGGCCCACTCCTCCAGCTCTCATTCTCAGAGCACCCCTTCCCATCCCCAGCTCCACCTCCCCATGCCCACCCAGCCCTGTCCCTGCTATGCAGCCTCCCACAGCCCACCCACCTTCACTGCCTTCTTGCTGCTTTAGCCATCTGCTTCAAGATGCTCCGGGACCTGAGTGGGTCAGACCCCCTCCGCCTGAAGTGCGTCATCAGGAAGATCAAGAACATGGCGCATGGGTCCCCCAACCTGGTGCTGGAAACCATCCATGACTACTTCACAGACAACCCACAGGTGAGGGCTGCCTGGGCCATGGGGGCAGGCACGACGAGCAACAGGGAGGGATGGACCCAAGACAGGCTCCAGTCCTGAGTCCTGCACACAGCAGCTGGGTTAGGGCAAGGCTCAGTCCCATCACATGTCAGTGGGCTGTGGGCCGAGGAGAGCGGGCCGACGTGTGCATCACCCTCACGGCAGCCTCATGGGGTAGCTGTTATGGTCCTCACAGATCAGGAAACTAAGGCTTAGGGCAGGGAGATAATTTGCCCAAAGCAACAGAGCTACTAAGTGGCAGTGACGGATGCACAGATGGATGGATGAATGGATGGATGAATGGATGGATGGATAGATGGTCTGTTGCAGTGAAATGTGTAAATGAACTAACTGACTTTGAAGGAATGCTTTTAAACCCCATCATTTCCTGATGATGGGGACAAACTCGTATTCCTCTGTCTTCATAGCACCTGGTCCACAACCTGCACGTGGCAGGTGTTCAAGAAATGGTTGTGGAGTGAATGGCCCCAAGTGCTCCCATTTGCAGTCTCCCCTCAGTGTCCTGCACACCCTCCCCACTGCTCCTGCGGGCATCTCCCACGTGCTCAGGCCAGCTGGCCCCGAGCCTCTGCCCACCCTGCCACCCACAGATCTCCACCCGGCACAAGTTCCGGCTGTTCCAGGTCCTGGAGAACGTCATCAGAGCCAGCGACTCCCTGGGGGAGACCTGGGAGAAATCCTTCATGCAGCTGGCCCTGGAGAACATGACCAAGACCACGGTGGGCCTCCCCCTTCCGAACAGCCCCCAGCCCCTAGGGCTCTTGGGAGTGCAGGCGGCGACCCCAGGGATCCCAGGAGAGCTGGGTGCACCCAGCCTGTGGTTTGCTAGTGGTTTCTGTCCGTGTCTGCTTTGTCTACCAGCCCTCTTCAGAGGGACAATCCCATGGACTATCGATTGCCTAAGGCTACAGAGCTGTCTGTGGCCAAGTCCGTGCCTGGCTGTCCCTTCCCCAGGGTGTTTCCGGCCCCACTGCTCTCCTCCCCATTCCCGCCACCACATTCAGCCTCAGACCTGCTGTGGGTCTGGCCCATGCCCCAGGCTATAACTCAGCCCCTGGCTCCCTGCTTGCGGGCTTCCTGCCTAAATGGCCTCCTCCACCAGGCTGGCAGGCCATGGAGGCTGGGGCTGGCCAAAAGCCTCAGCTGATTGGGGCCCGGGGGCCAGTGGCTCTTACCGACACTACTTCCGTAGAGACACTGTCTTGGAAACCCGAGGAGGGGTCGCTATGAGTCGGACTCCACTCCACGGCACTGAGTTAGACTCAGTAATCAGGGTGATTAGTCGTGGTTGGGAGAGAAGTGTCAGGCCATCAAGTGACCACCACGGACCCAGCCTGGTGCTCTGCAGAGCCTGAACAAACATCATTTAACCGTCCAAGCAGGTGCTAGGTCCCCATTTTACAGATAGAAAGACTAAGGGGACTTAGGGAACTTGCCAGTGGTGATAGCCCCGCGGGTGGACCGTGGGTGCACCACCTACCAGCCGTGTGTGTTGGGCACACAGCCTCCCTCAGCCTCAGTTTTCTATCAGAAAGACGGGTCCATGGGAGCAGCCCTGCCTGGCAAGCAGGACCACGCGTGTGAAAGCTGCACCCGAATGCGGCTCTTGCTCTCTGTCCCCTGCCTTCCTGTTTGCCCTGCCGTCCCCCCGCTCCCCAGGAGCTGGACGACATGTTCCAGGATGCAGCTAGCAACGTGCTGGTGGCCATCTGCAAGCACTCGTGGCGGCCCGTGGCCCAGCACCTGGAGTCCAAGGTGCTGACAGGCGCCTTCCCACACCGCAGCTTCCTCTACGTGCTGGGCGTCCTGTCGTCCAGCGGTAGGTCCCACCCCAGGCCAGTGGGCGGAGTGGGTGGTCATGGGGAGAGGCCCCCGCCACAGCCCCCAGGGCTGCTGACCTGCCATGAAACAGGGGCTGTGTTTGGGCCAGATGGCCGCTCTCTGCAGCTTACCACCTCTCAGCCCCCTGGGCCTGCCTACAAAGGTGGTACCCAGCCCAGCTGGGCCACACGTTCCATTGGCTCATGCCTCTCCTGTCAGTACGTCAAATACGGGCCCGGGCAGAAACAGGACTGACCCGGGAAGCCCTGGGCGAAACTGAGAGTTGCCCCCGGCTCTGCACCTTCGTGCCTGGGCAGTGTGTGGCACTGCCCCCTTGGCCCTCTCCCTTGATCACACGAGTAGGCAGCTCACCTCGCCCATGAGAGGCTGTCTGACAGGCCCAGGGTCCCCAGCAGCTGTCCCAATGCCACGTGCCCAGACCTGATACCTGTGTAAGAGCCCCTGCCCTGAACTGTGGACAGGGCCGCCCTGAACAGTGGAGGCACAAGGAGGGTCCTGCTAGGAGGGGGCTCAATTCGATGCCAGACAGCAGTGCTGAGGGAGCACCTCCAGGGTGCACGTGGGCTCTCAGAGGTTAGGACGCCCTCCCACCAGGAGCTCTGAGTCTTGTGCGTGCTTAGGGCTGGCAGTGGGAGGAGAGGGGTGGCAGGTGCTGAGAGACACAGGAAGGCCTGCTAGTCTGGGATGCCCCAGGGCCATGCTTGGGGGCTTGGACTCAGGCCATCCCTGGGATAGGGAGCCCAGGATTGGCAATCTGGGTGCAGATCAGTCAGTGCCATCGTAACCTCCCTGGAAGCAGCCCCTCCCTCTGAGTGGGCTCCCCAAAGCCTTGAGAAGCTCCCCAGTCCTCCAGTGTTCCCCAAGTGTGTCTCAGAGGGGCCCCTTCACTCCTGTTGGTGAACCTGAGGCCCAGAGAGGGCATGTGGCCTGGGCTCACATGACACAGCAGCAGCCGGAGCTCCTGCCTGAATGCCCGGCTCAGGCTGTCGGGGCTCGGTCCCCTGTGGAGCCAGGGGCGCAGAGGCAGGTCATTGTCACCCTGACTCAGCCCAGTGTCTGAGGCCTGAAAGTGAGGCCCAAGGTCGAGCTCTGGCTGGGCCTCAGACTGGGCCTGTGACCCCTCCCCCCAACAGAGGACCTCTTCAAGAAGGGAGAGAAGGCATGCTGGGAAGAGCAGCTGGCCCAGGTAGGGAGGGCCCAGGCATCAGGCCTTCAGTGGGGTGACGGCAGAGGGCAGCAAACGGTCCCATGGGCACCTCTGCAGCCCTGCTCAGCGGGAGGGAGCGAGGGAGGGCCTGCTCCCACACAGATAAGCCACCAGGCTCTGGGAGGTGAGGTGACTTGCCCAAGGGTGCAGGGCTGGCCACTGCTGGACCTGGGATTTGAACCTTGGTCCCTAGGGGCCAGGGACAGAGCAGGTGTCCAGCACTTATGAGGCCTTCTGCACCCAATCCTGGGCATGGTCAGACTGAAGGGACTAGGGCAGGCCACCAGCACCAAGGCCAGGGAGGGGAGAAAGCAGGCTGAGGTGGGTGTCGCAGCCCATCCTGCCCACACCCCAGGGGAGGCCTGACATGGCACACAGTGCATGGGTCAGTGTCAGGTTCCCTGGGCAGTTTAAAGGTGACCAGACGGGGTTGTTGACTGGAAGCCTGGGGTTCAGCTCTACCCTGAGGTGCGTTGGGAAAAAGTCCTGGCGATCGACTTCTGAAAAGCCCACCATTCATTCCCCATAGAGAGTGGTTCCACTGACACACGTGGAGTGCTGTGAGTTACAGTCGACTCCACAGCCACTGGCTTTCCGTACAGTTATCAGAAGTACCTGCACTTTCCACAGCACGTGGAGTCCACCTCCACTTAAAAAAATTAAACATAAAACCCTCAGTGACAGACGTTTTAAAACTAAGATTGTTGGGAAGTAATATGGTAGCCATGCTAAATGTTCCATGAACACCCTTTCAGGACTTGGGACAGAGAAAACCCAAAAACCCCACTGCCATGGAGTCGATTCTGACTCACAGTGCCCCTAGAGGACAGAGTGGAACTGCCCACAGGGTCTCCAAGGCTGTCAGTCTTCACAGAAGCAAAGCCCAAACCACACCCACTGCCTGGAGTCGATTCTGACCCACAGCGCCCCTAGAGGACAGAGTGGAACTGCCCACAGGGTCTCCAAGGCTGTCAGTCTTCACAGAAGCAAAGCCCAAACCACACCCACTGCCTGGAGTCGATTCTGACCCACAGCGCCCCTAGAGGACAGAGTGGAACTGCCCACAGGGTCTCCAAGGCTGTCAGTCTTTACAGAAGCAGTCTGCCTCATCTTTCTCCCTTAGAGCAGCTGGCGGGTTTAAACTGCTGACCTTCTGGATAGCAACCCAATGCTTTAACCACAGCACCACCAGCACTCTCAATATATCAATATCTGTTCAGAACATGCAAATCATTGCAGGGTCAGAGAACTAAATCCCATAAACTATTATCACAACACCCTGGCTCACCTTTTGCCACAAATGAGTGGCTGCAAAGTTGTGAAAGAACGTTCAATTTTCTGAGTTTTGGTACCTGCATTTCAGACAAGGGGCTGTGGTCCGTGATGGTGGGACACCCGTGGAAACAGGCAGGAACCCCTGGTGCCCCGGAGTGCCACAGGGTTCTGCAGACTCCTGTCCTGTGGGCGAGAGAGCCCAGGGAGGACTCAGTGCCCCACCCACGTCCTTCTGCACCCACAAGCCTGAGTCGGACCAGCCCTCTAGGTTCCACAGAAAATGGGGAGCACCTTCCCCCTCATGGGCCCAAAGAGCAGAGCCAGGGAGCAGCAAATGGCTCCGCCAACAGGGGCGCTCCACGCTTGCCTTACGGCCAACAAGGCTGCCGGTGGGCCCTGTGCTCCCAGCCTCCCACGTCTTAGTGTTTTATAGGACACGTTCCTGGACCTCGAGTTGCTTGGGGATGTGTATGCATATGTTACCTTGTCATTGGTATTGCTAAAACCCTTGAAAAAAGACGTAGGTGCAGCCTCCTTCCCCTCAAGGGAAGGAGGTACTTTCCCCACTCCCTTGCCAACATTCAGTGTGAGTTTTCACCCACCTGTGCCCAAATGACACGTGAGTTTATCTTCCAGTCTTCAAATAGTAGCAAGGTTGAGGTCACAGGTTACGTCTTTATCATGTCTGTGTCCTGTAACCATTTTTAAATGTGTTGTCTTTCTCTTACTGATTCCTAGAGAGCTCTTTGTTTATTGTGGCTATTGAAGCTTGGTAATAGGTGACAGGAAAAAAATCACTGTGGCCTCCAACTTAATTTATGGTATTTTTACCAAGCAAAGCTCTTTAAATGTTTGTCTTCACATTTGTCAATTTTTCTTTTAAAGCTTTAGGGGCTGGGATCGTACTTAAGATAGGTATTCCCACCCCAAAAAGATTCTCAGGATCAAAAATCTTGGAATTATTGAATCATGGAATCTGGGAGCTTTGGAGACAGAGAAATCTTCTAGTCATCATAAAATCCTGAAATGTTAGGGTCAAGAAATTTTATATTTCGAAGGGCATTTTATGAATCCATTCAATCTGTCCTTCATTCATTCATTCAAACACCATTCATGGGCACCCACTAGGTACTATTCTAGGTGCTGGGGACACAGCCTTGGAGGAGACAGGGTCCGCCCCCTGGAGCCCAGACGCAAGTGATGATGTCCGTGGGGCCGACCCCAGCTAGCACTCACTGAGCACTCGTTACGTCCCAGCCTCTATGGGACACCATCGGAGCCTGGGGCACACGCAGCGTAACTGCCCCTGCTGCCCGGCTCACCTGGAACACCTCAAAGGGACAGGAGCTTAGGGGATGCGTTCCCCGTCGTCCCTGAGGGCTGTCAGACAAACAGGAGAGACCTGGTCCTGGAGACTCAGAAGAGGGAAGGGACCCAGAGGAGGACAGAACCACAGGCCGGGAGGCCAGGCAGGCCTCAGCTCTCAGTGGAGCAAGCAGGGCCACAGCCTACCCACCCGTTCTGCTAACAGATAGCCACCAAGTCAGTCCAGTTTCTGAACACTGACACGTGGTCCAAGGAGCTGCTGCAGGTGCTCACCAAGCGTGACCAGACAGAGCAGGAGCAGCGCCCGGAGAAGGTGGGCCTCCTGCCCCCACACGGCCCCCACTTGCCCAAGGGCCCTGCCCTGCCCCCTGCAGGGAAATCAGGGGCCCCACATGACACAGGGACAAGGGCTGGGCAGCTACCTTGAAGCCAGGGCCTGCTCCGGCAGGTGGTCCCAGAGCAGAGAGGCGAGGGTCAGGTTAGGAGGGAGCCCAGCAGCTACCGGAGCCCAGGGTGGGGACGCGGTGGAGGAGGCTGCCATCAGGGGCAAGGGGCAGGCACTGGTGGGCCAGGCCCAGGACAGGATGCCCTCCTTCCCCCAGACCTTCCTGTACACCTACTACGGACTGATCCTTCAAGCTGCAGAGAACGGCACCACCGTCCGGGCACACCTGCAGGCCCTCCTGGAGACGTCCCACCAGTGGCCCAAGCAGAGGGAGGTGAGGACCCAGCCCCCACACAGTCCCCAAGGGGACCAGTCCAGCTCTGTCTGAGCCTGGCTCAGCCCATCCCTGGCTCCTTGGTTATATTTGAGCCCTGGTCCCGGTCACAGACTGAGCCCCGGTCCCGGTCACAGGCTGGGCCCCGGTCCCGGTCACAGGCTGGGCCCCGGTCCTGGTCACAGGCTGGGCCCCGGTCCCGGTCACAGGCTGGGCCCCGGTCCCGGTCACAGGCTGGGCCCCGGTCCCGGTCACAGGCTGGGCCCTGGTCCTGGCCACACGCTGAGCCCTGACCCTGGAAGCACACTGAGCCCACATACAGCCTGGCTTCTCTTCCTCATTCCACGTGTATTGCTTGGACCCTCCTTCCGAGCCCTGGGGCAGGTCTGCTCCAAGCTGGTGTGAGGGGTCCCTTGCCCTCTTGCCCCTCCTGTCCCTTAAGAGATGCCTCCTCCAGGCTCTGAGTGGCATGGCTTAAGAGTAGGGGACTGGGAGGTGGACGCCCTGTGAGTTTGGATGGCCTTCCCCTTGTAAGCCCGTGCCCACACCAGGCCTGGTTCCATGCCACGGCTTCCCCACCCCAGGGCATCGCTCTCACCATGGGGCTGGCTTCCATCCGCCACCTGGACGACGTCTGGGCTGTCCTGGAAAAATTTGGCCAGAGCGCACCCATCAAGTGGAGTCTCCACAGCTTCTCCCCAAAGGTACCCCAGGGGTCTCAGCAAGGGCGGGACATGGGAACCCCATCCTCCATGAAGGTCCGAGGGGCGTGGCCAGCAGCACAGGCTTCCAGTCCCACCTTATCCCCCACCTGCTGTGTGACCTTGCCCAAGTCACTCAGCCCCTCTGTGCTGGTTGCTTTTTGAGTACCACTTCCGCCCTCCCCGGGACCAGGGAGGAGCTGAGCCGTGGCTGTGGATGGCCTGCCCCAAGAGGTGCTGGAGAAAGCACTGCTGGCCGTGGCTGTGCTGGAGTCGGGTCACACTTGTTGCCTTCCTGACATGTGACTTACTGAAAACATACCTACATACCCCTCACCACGTCCTCAAACAGCTCCCCACTGGCTGGAAACGGGGCCTGGGTGGCACCAGGTGGAGGTGTACTTGGGATGAAGGCAAGGAAGGGGACAGCCAGGCTGTCCCTGGATCTGTCCAAAGAGAGTGGTCATAGCTGACCAGTGAGAGTCCAGCAAGGGTCACTTACCTCCTCTGGGCCACACAGCTGGCAGAGCAGGGACCGGGTCCCACGTCCCAGACCCACCGGGTGCCAGGCCACAGAGAAGCAGCAGAGCCATAAATGGGCCTGATAGGCCCTGGGCGGGGAGCAGCTGCTCCGACCCTGCCCGCACTCTGGGTATCTGAAGGTACCGGGTCTCACCCAGCAAGGAAGTCCCATGTGCCCCATCGCTGTCCTACTAGGTCAAGGCACAAGCCCCAGGCCCCAGCCACCCAACCAGCAGGAAGGGGAAGAGGTGGGATGGGCACTGGGCTCCCAGAAAGGGGGTTCCCACAGGAGAAGAAGGGAGGGGCTCCGGCTCCCACCAGCTCTGACCGAGCCAGGCATTCCCACTCACACCCCTGTGTGGCCCCACAAGGGCCCCTCACCCCAGAGAGACAATCCCATTTTCCTGCTGAAATAGACAGGCCCACACTTCAGAATCCCTCCCTCCAGGACCCTGCTAGGGCCTAGGGCCCATCCCCACCCACTGCTTCCCTGGAGGCAGGGCCCTGACGCCCCTTATCTGCCCCACCCATTTGCCGTGGTCAGAGCTCAGAGGATTTCCGCTGGAAATGGGCTAGCAGCACCATCCTGCTCTCGTACGGACAGATGGCGGCCAAAGCCAAGCACCATATCCTCCCGTGGGTGGACAACATCTTGTCAAGGATGACCTTCTTTTTCCAATACAGCTGCTGGGTATGGCGCCCCAGCCTCTGCACGATCCCCAAGGCTGGCCCCTACCACTGTCAGAGGCCTGGCTTGGACTCCAGGAGCCCCAGCACAACCCAGGGCCCATCCAGATCTCAGGTCTCCAGGGCTTGGAGCCACCTCCTCACCTCCCCCCAACCCTGGAGTCCAGAAGAACCAGCCTAGCCTCCCTATAGGCCCATGCTTTGCCCATCCTAAGGCTATCTGGGTATCTGTGATGGCCCTAATTCCTCCCATACTTCCCTTACTGTAAACCCTGGATTTGCACCTTTGGGTGGGAGAAGGGGGTATTTGGGGGGCCAGGGTGGCAATCCCCAACTGTGCTCTCTACACCAGGGTCTCAAACCCAGGGAGCCGTGAGGGCCTGGCAGTGGGTATGGCCCTGCCACAGAAGTAGCTGGCTACTGCCTTGTGGGCACTGGGGCTGGGGGCTGCCACACACAGACAGAAGCAGGACAATGGGGTCTCACAGGCTTAGATAGTGTCAGTGGCACACTCAGATTGTTTTCAAAATCCCATGGGTCCAAAATCAAAAGCCCCAGGGGTACTGTCCCCATTTCCAGCAGTGGCCCTGATCCCACTCTCCCTACCTCCCCCTGCCCACTCTCTGACTGGCTCCCCTTCTTCCAGGATGACACCCTGAAGCAGAGCTTCCTCACGGCTGTCCTGCTGGTGGTGGGGGCCATCAGCCGGAAGGAGGGCGCCCACAGCTATGAGTTCTCCCAGGTCCCTGAGCTCCTTGACTGTCTGATGGTGCGAGCAAGGTCCTGGGGCTGAGCAAGGCTTCATGGGGCAAAGAGGGTGGCACCCTCCCTTTGACCAGCAGTGCTTCCAGACAGGCATTCCCTGGGAAAAGGGGCGGTGGAGCTGGATTTCTGGAGGGTACCTAAGCCCCTCCCAAACTTTCATGTTTGGAAGCATGTCCATGTCCTTCAATTTGCTTCTGGTGACCTGAGCCCTGGCCAGGTACATCCAGCTCTCAGATGATGAGTGTGAAGCTCAGAAAGGCCAGCTCCATCCATCTGCAAATACTAAGCTAGCTGGTGAGTAGAGAGCTTGGCTCTGTAAGGAGCTTCCAAGGCAGTGAGGAGACACACAAGTGACCAGGCAATCACAACAGTATCAACAACAACAGCTCCCATTTGTTGAGCTCCTACTGTGTGCCAGATATGGGGGCTGGACACTGTGATAGCTGCTTAGAACCTGTTGCTTCCTGAGTAACAATGCCCTAACTCAGGCTCAGAGCAGTTTGGAGACCTGCCCAACGTCACACAGCTTGTACATGGGCAACCAGGCTTCAAACGTGATCTGTCTGATGATGAGGGCTATGCTGTAATTCTCTAAGTGGTGTCCAGGTCACAGAGGGCCCTGAATGACAGGGAAGTCTTAGGCAGGAATGAGCCTTGGTGTCAGAAGTGGGATTGGCCCAGACATGTGTGACTCAGCCTGCATCTGGGGATTTGCAGGTTTTGATGGAGAAGGAGCACCCAGACACACTGTGTACATCGACTCGCCAGCAGACCATCCACATCATCTCCAGCCTGTGGTAGGCACACTAGCCCTTTGCAGGGCCTTCCTCAGTGACAGACAGTGGCTTCTCAGCACTGACTTGGTACTGACAGAGCGATGAGAGAGGAAGGAAGAGGTCAGAAGTGAAGGTTATGCTGGGCAGGGCTAGGGTCCTGAGCCAGTGCAGGCCAGGGTGGGAGGAAGTGGGCAGTCCATGGAGGCCAGAGCCTGTGATCTGGGATGGAGTCACTCTGCAGAGGAGCCAACCCACCTTCAAACACGGGGAGATATTTAAGGTTAGAGCTGTCACTTATGGCAAGACCCCAGTTGTTGGCAGGGTCCAGCTAGCAGCTCCAGCACCAGGGGAGGGAGAGAAGGAAAACTGCATCTGGATCCAGGCCAACCCCCAGGGAAGGGAGTGAGGTCAGAGTGCAGAGGGCTCGGGGATCCCAGGGCCACAGGCCCAGGCCCTGATTAGCTGTCTGCCTGCAGGTGGGGCAAGGGTACACCTGGCCTCTCTACTGACCAGGACAGGGTGAGGCTGGAGGGGCATCAGGGCTCCTTGGGGCAGGGACTCTGCCCTGCTGCCTCTGGGGCCAGGGCCAGCCTATACTCCAGTCCTAGTGGGATGGGCGGTGGGATGGTCTCCACAGACTCTAAGCCAGACCAAGAGGGGTATGGGGGGTGTCAGCTGACACATTAACTCTGTCAGGGCTTTCCATGAATACTGCCCTCCTCTCACCCCCCACAACAACCCACCAGGGGGATATTCCCCTGTTACTGGCCAGGGAGATCAATGCCACCTTCTCTCCAGCTGCAGAGAGGAGAGTGTGGACCACAGAGGCAGCGGCACAGGTGGGTGAGAACAGGTCGAGCAGGCCCACCTCCGCCAGTCCTAACCTCTCCGAGCCTCAGTTTCCTAATGTATTCATTTCACAATCATTGAGGGCTTACTGTGTGCCAGACACCAGTCTGGGTGACAGCATCTCTGCCCCCAAGAGCTGACACTAGGTGGGGACGGCAGAGACGAAGAGCAAATCACATGTGGTGTGTTGGGAACTGATGATGACAGTGCACAAATGAGCAGGGACAGCAGAGTGACAGGCTCAGCCCGCCTGGCCACACAAGCTCAGGGGCAGTGTGGTCAGCTCCCCCGCCAGTGCCCCTCTCTCCCACAGTAAGCTGAGGCCCTCGCCAGACCTGGAGCGAAAGTCGCGGATCCTGTCCGTCTGCCTACGCAGCGTGTTCACCCTGCCGCTGCTCGAGGTTCTGGAAAAGCACACCTGCCTCTTTCTGGAGCCACCTGACATGCAGGTGAGCCGGGTGCAGCCCAGAGCAGCGGCTCAGTCCTCTGGGTGCCGCCCAGAGTGGCTGCTCAGCCGGGTGACCACTTCATTGCGCCTACCAGCTTGGCAAGGGCAGACTGCAGGAGCTGGGCCCCTGACAAACCCACAAACCTGGGTCAGGGTACCTGTGGCATGTTCCTGAACGGCTCACAGCTACCCTTTGTCCACCTGTAAGATGGGGAGCCCTGGTGGCACAAGAAGGAGCTCTGGGGACGTAGTGCGTAAGCATTTGACTGTTAACCAGAAGGCTGGCAGTTCAAACCCACCAGCCACTCCATGGAAGGAAGATGGGGCAGTCTACTTCCACAAAGATTTGCTGCCTCGGAAACCCAGAGGGGGTCGCTGTGAGTCAGAATGGACTTGATATCAGTGGATTTGGTTTGGTGGCGCAAGGGTTAAGTGCTCAGCTGCTGACGAAAAGCTCAGTGGTTCGAGCCCCACCCCCCCAGGCTCTGTAGGAGACAGACCTGGTGGTCTGCTCCCATAAGATTACAGCCAGGAAACCCTAAGGGGCAGCTCTACTCTGCACACAGGTTCATTGAGTCAGACCAGACTTGACAGCCCCGCAGCGGCAGTCCCTGGGTGGTCAAATGGTGAAACATTAGATTACCAGCCGAAAGGTTGGTGAATCAAACCCACCCACAGGCACCTTGGAAGCCAGACCTGGTGACTGCTTCCCCAGAGTCACAGCCTGAAAACCCTATGGCCATTTCACCTGCACCCGTGGGGTCACTGTGGGGCGGCGCTGGTGGACGGCAGCTGACCGCGTCCTTAGCACAGGGGTGGGCATGCGGTGGGCAAGGGCTGCTCCAGAAACAGGAAGGTCACACAGGGCTTGACCAGCTTGCTGTGTGGCCCTGTTAGGTGTGTGTTTCTGCCTGCTTGGGGCAGCCCCAGAGAAGCAAGGAGACAGGCAAGTGCCTCTATCCAAAGAATGAGTTCCCTAGTCGCACAGAGGCCCAGGAGAGCAGCCAGGGCCAGAGGGCCCACCCAAGCCCACCACCAAGTCCCTCCACACCTGGACAAAGTGGTGGGCTCGGTCTCACCTGAGCAGCCACCTGAACTGGTCATCCCCACCTGGCCAACCCCACGAGGCTGTGAGAGGAGCCCTCCTGCTTCCGGGTGGGGGAGCAGGTCCAGGCTCTTTAGGGAGTCCTGTCAAGCAGTAACCCTGTGGACCGGGGAAACGCGACCATGGCTGATGGCCGCCACCAGGGGGCGCGTGCTGATCCTGCGTGCTCAGCTGCCGCGCACGCTCAAGGTGTGCAGCCTAGGGGAGGGGCCCCGTGTGATCCGCGCACCTACTAGGTGCCAGGCCCGGTGTATGCGTTATCATGGAGCTTTCAGAGGCCCGTCCTGAAGGAAAAGGAAAAGATGCAGCGATATTAAGGCGTGGTGGGTTTGCACCCCACACCTGTCCCTGGGGCCTGCTCTCCACAGCACACCTCTCGGCTGGGTCCACACATCACACACTGCTGGCTGGGGTGGTGCAAGAGCGAGGGGCCCCTTCTGCAGGCCTCCAGAAGGGTACGGTCTCCTGTGCCCCACCCTCATGAGTCCAGGGTGCCCCTGTTACCAGATGGCATGGAGCTGGTGCAACAAGGGGGCGGGTACCCGCCAGACGCTGGGCTGGAGCCTCTCTCCACTCCCACCCATGCCACCCCCACTCTGGCAGGTCAGGCTGGCTTGTGCCCAGGTCATAGGTGAGGAAAGCACATACAAAGAGGTGCAATGTCTCATGGGCCACAGACCGTACACCACTCAAGGACCGTGAGAGGGGCTTGAGCTCTCTCTGAGGCTCTCCGACCCAAGTCAAGTAGGGGGTGGAGTGACAGGAATCAGGGTGAGGCGGCTGTGTGGTCCAGTGCAAAACGAGAGTGGGACCCTGATTCAAAACACGTAAAGACTTTCAAGATGAGGACAGTAGAGCCTTCAACCAAGCGTGAGCCCTGGTGAACACGCAGGTCCTGTCGTGCACGAGGCCCTTCTGAGTGTGCAAGGCCCAGGTGAGCGCACCACACTTCTGAGCTCCGGCCCTCATGAGCGCAAGGACTGCCCGCCCAGGAAGCCGCCCCGCGAGGCGTGGACTTGCCTCTGCCACTGAGCAGCCCGGCGCCCTCGGGCGGGATCCACCGCCCCCTAACGCGGTCTCCTTTTCTGCCAAATGTGACGATCGGGGTTGGTGGGAGACTCCTTCCCAGCACAGTGGTGGGCTCTGTGCTGGGCAGTGACAGCACCACAGGGCCCGGCCATGGACAAGCGCGGGAAGCCAGCCACTGGCACCGAGACAGCCGTGGCCGCAGCGCCAGGCCAGTGCGCGACTTCAGCCCCTCGCTCCCGCAGACGCGGCCCTCTGAGCACCCGTCTCCTCACAGGCTCTGTACCACAAAACGGCAGAGGCCCTGGACCAGCTGCTGCAGACCCTCCTTGTACAGGTCCCCACGTCCAAGGAGCTTCACTTCCTGCTGTCGGTGAGCACGGGGCTGGGGGGCTGGGGAAAGGGACCAAAGGGGCCAGGAGGGAGCCTTGGGAGAGGTCTGGGCACAAGGAGGCTTGAGGGCTGGCCCTGTTTAGGGATTACGGTGCTTTGGGGCAAAAGGGGGTGTGGTGCAGCAGGGACCACCTGGTGGCCAGCGGCCTTGAATGCTGCACTGCAGGAGGTGTGAGGAAATGGGCTTTGGTCCTGGCCCCAGAGAACCCTGCAGCTGTTCCCAGCTGTGATTACTGCAGCTGGCCCCAGCTGCCCTCCAGGGGCCCCACCTTACCCAGAGGCAGGCCAGCCAACCCAGCGTCAGGCACACCCACACCACCTCTGGACACAGGGATTGGCAGGAAGCTGGGGCCTTGGTCTAGGAAAGAGAAGGCCAGACCCGGGCAGTGGTGGGAGCAGAAGGGGAGTCTGGGCAAAGAAGGCAGGGAGTGGTGGTGGTGGTGGTGGTGGTGGTGGTGGTGGTGGTGGCGGGTGGAGCCTGGGCCAGGAGAAGCCTGGAGCTTAGGGGCGGAGCCTTGCTCAAGGAGGGCACCTGGCCTGGGATGGCTTGGGGACAGAGCCTGGCCAGAGGTGGGCGGGCCCTGGCCTGGGGTCTGCAGCCACAGCTGTGCCTACTGGTCCCTGGCCACCCCACAGCACATGTACGTCTGGCTGGCGTCAGAGAAGGCCCACGAGAGGCAGCGGGCAGCGCACAGCTGCGTGACCCTTCTCAAATTTCTGAGCCAGAACCTCTGCCTGGACGTGAGTACCGGCTCGCCCCTCCCCTGCGGCTGCACCTCCTGCCCCGGAGCCCAGAGCCCAGTCACTGCTGCCCTCCCCCCAGCACCCGCCATGGCTCTCAGGGTTTACAGACACAGCGGCTTGCTGAGCCTTGTGCGAGCTGGCCTGGGCTGAGTGCCCAGCGAGCACCCCACATTATCTCCCATTTCACACCTGGGGAAACAGGCTCCGCTGGGAAGACCCTGCCCACAGCCCAGGGCTGGGCTCTGAGCTGGGGTGGCCCGGACCCTGGACACTGGGCTCTGGCCTGTGCCCCTGGAAACCTTGGGCAGATCCTCTGACCTGAGCCTCAGTCTCTCACCTGTGAAATGGGAGGAAGTGGTCCCTCCTTGGATGGATGAGGTGGGATCCGATGATGTGGAGACCCTGCCCCCAGCCTAGGGTTAGCTGTCACTGCACAGAGCACCCCACCCCCACCGCCCCGTGCAGTCATCTCGTAGCTCTGGTCCTGATCGGATCTGTCACTGTCACCCTGGGGCTGAATGGTGGACACGTGTTCCAAGACTGAGCGGTCTGCATTTATCAGCCCAAGCCACCATGAATGCCTCTGGGGGGGGCTCATGGGAAGAAAAACAAGTCCGTCACCCCGACACCCCATGGGTGGCCCTGGAGTGATGAGGGGGTGGACTGGGAGCCCAGGCCAGGACGATTCTGTGAGCGGTCAGCTCTCTGCACGGAATCCCCCTACGGGGTAAAGTGGCTTCAGTTTACTCAAGGACTCCCTTCCTGGTGGCGCAAATGGTTAGCTGTTCGAATCCACCCAGACACACTCACTTCAGGGGCCTGGCAACCTGCTTCCATGAGGGCACAGCCACCGAAAACCCCGTGGAGCCCCATCCCACCGTGAGACCCCGGGTCCTGTACGGGTCAGAATCCAATCAACGGGCTTGGTGGGGGGGGGGTTGTTTGTTTAATTTATTCAGAATCAGTTTCCACCCACAGGACTGAGTGAGGTGAGGTACGCGCCTGGGCGCCAAATTTAAGAGTGAGCACTAAAAGCTTGCATAATCAAGATGAAGAATATTTTAAGGTGATAACGAAAAAATCAAACTGGCAGGCTACAGCTCATGGGCTGTGCACTTGTATTGTTTTGTAAATAAAGTTTTATTGGAACTAGGGCCATGATTAAGATGAGGCAAGTGAGGTAGGATTATCCAAGCATAGGGACAGACTCTTTTATTTAAAATGTTGGTACTTTGTTCGTCATGGACGTTTTTGCATTGATTTTGATTTTTTAAAACACCATTTCTCTTGATCACTAAGTGTTTTGGTGCCCCTGAAATTTGGCACCTCACCCTGGTTCCCAGCCCTGCCACACAGTCTGTGGGGATCCAGTTGGCCGTTGGCGGTACTGGGGTGAGGGTGGGGCCTCGGGGGGTATGTTCGGCATCAGTGGGCCCTCTCTGCTCTTGCTGTAGCCAGGAGAGGAATTCAGATGGACTGGACAGCTGGTGGGCATGCTGGGGATTCTATGCCAGGATCCCAACAAGACCACCCAGCACTCCAGCCTGGAAGGTGTGGGCCACCTCTACCAGCTGCTGGTACGCCGGAAAGGTGGGTCTCCATGGGCCACCCCGGTGGACCCCTGCCCCCAGCTCCAGCCTGGAACCTCACCAGAGCCCCACTGCTCCTGGCACCACCTCAGCTCAACCTAGACCTCACGCTCACCCCAATCTGCTCCTAACGTCTGTGATGACGTCACCCTGACCCCCAAGCCCCCTGGCCTCAGCCATAGACTTACCTCAGCCTGACCCTGGAATGACATCACCCTGATGCCCAGATCACCTGACTCTGATAACAAATGACCCCACTCTTCTGCCTGGCCCCCTCTGCCCTGCCTACACCCCTGCCCACTCCCACCCTGCCGTGCCCCGCCCAGCTGGGGAAGCTCAGGCAGAACTGAGGACCCCCAGCCAGCTCCCGAGCAGCGAGGACCAGAGGGCAGCTCCCTCAGACGGCCCGGGGCAGGTGTCCCCGAAGGACCACATCTTCCAGCTTGGCAGCTCCCAAGCCATCAAGGTCAAAGCCCTAAGCGTCGTGAGCGGGTCTGGGTGGGGGGCCGTGGCCATGCTCTGCTCTGACCCCCACCGCTGGCCCTTCCATAGGGGCTCCTGGCTGTGGGGTGGCCTGCTGGGCACATCCTCCGTGGTTGACTGAGCCCCGGGCAGGGAGGAGTAGAACTGAAGAGTGAGGGGGCCATGGTGGAAGGTTTCAGAATCTGCTACCCGGCTCGGGTCCCTGCAGGGCCTCCCCGAGCTGTGTGACCGTGGACAGACCCCTCCTCTCTGAGTCTCAGTCTGTAGCCTGGCAGTACTGCTGCTGCGTGGGTCCCACAGACGCAGGCCTGGGCATCCCCAGTGCTCTGAAGGCCGGGAGTATGAGCCCGTGCTCGGGCAGTTTAGGGCTGAAGCCTGGCCGACGCGGGGATCCTGCTGGGTGTGAGCAGGGCCCAAGTCCAGGAGGCAGGTGCCCCACATCTCTCCTCAGGCAGGTCAGGCTCCCAGGGCACCGAGACGCCTCTTGTTTGTCCCCAGTGTGCCACCTTGAGCACCTCCAGGGAAGTGGCTTCTCCTCAGATGGCTTTGTGTGTCTTTACACGGGCAGTGAGCTGCACAGTGAGGCACAGGGCACCAAGGGCCTCCTCCCTGTCGCACACTCGCACTCGTGCACGCCCGCAGCATGGACAGGGAGGGCCACACCCACACACTCTCTCCTGTGTTGTCCAAGAGACAGGCAGGTTTAAGGAGCTGGGAGCGACGGGCAGCATGTATTAGACACCAAGCGTTTCCCAGGTGGTGTTGTGTCCCATCCTCTGATTAATAAACCACTCTGGCACTTTCCAGATGGCCCGTTAACAGCCCCCATGTGCACTCATGTCGTTCCACGGCCCTGGGCCTGTGCAAATTCGCTCCCCCTTGCACTAGTTTCTTCCTTCTCCACCTCCTGCTCTCCTCACCAACTTCTACTCATCCCTCAAAACCCTACTCAGGCCTCATACCCTCTGAGAAGCCTTCCCTGACTTTCCGCAGTGCAGGCTGAGTGAGTGGTGTTTGTTTGTTTGTTTCCCTCCAAGTTTCTTCTTTGCCTTCCTTTGAGTGTTGCCGTATTTGCACTGGGTTGTGAGGTGAAGGCCTCATTCGCACTGGGTTGTGAGGTGAAGGCCTCTTACCAGGGACAGGGAGAACCCCAAAAAGAGGCCCCTTCAAGGGGACCCACTTAAATTAGGCATCAACATTCATAGTGACAACTGCAGGGATGGGAATGTTGGAAGCGCATCTTGGACAGAAGGCAGCTGCGTTATGAAAATCCCGGTTCTGACCACTCTCGGTTTGGAAGAACGTTAGTTCCCCCGGGGCTTTGCTGACAGAGCTGTGTTAGCAGCCCCGTGGTCCTTGACCTTGATTCCTGCAGTGCGCCCACCCTGCTGTGCTGTTCCTGAGGCCTCCCCAGTCCTTGGATGGATGGCGTATCCCGTCACGCTCCTCGCCAATTCCTCCTCCCTGTGTCATCTGGCCAGATCCTATTGGTCAGGGGGGCCATCATGACTCCAACATATCATTCATCACCCTTGTGAGCCACCACACCTTGGTTGCAGTCGCCCCATGACCTGCCGTGTCTCAGTGGCCATCACCCCTGTGACCCACCATGTCAGTGGCCATCACCCGTGTGACCTGCTGTTCTCGGTGGCCATCACCCCCATCACCCGCCCTGTCTCCGTGGCCATCCCCCCATCACCCACCGTGTCTCAGTGGCCATTGCCCCTGTGATCCACTGTGTATCAGTGGCCGTCGCCCCTGTGACCCGCCATGTCTCCATGGCCATCACCCCCATCACCCGCCATGTCTCCGTGGCCATTGCCCCTGTCACCCGCCGTGTCTCGGTGGTGGTCTCCCTCTTCAGCATGGCCTGTGGTTGGCATTTGCATTGGGTTTGAATCCTGTTACCACTGAGGATGAGAGGGTCAAGTGTGAGGGTGGAGCTGAGTGCTGGTGTTGATCGGGGCAGGTGATACTCCCAGGAGACTCGCTCTCGAGTCGCTGGTTTGCGATGTTTGTGATGCAGTGGTTTCTGCTGGCTGCTCCTGGGGTTGAGCAAAGGGATCCGTCCGTAACCAGTGTAAGTGTCAGGGTCCCCGTGTTAGACCTGGAGTGGCTCCAGGAAGGGGTGCAATCACACCCACTCTTACTCCCCACAGCCCAACATGGTCCTGGTGGTCCAGGAAGCCCTCAATGAACACCCACTAAACTGAACCCAAAGGCGAAGAAATGGCAGCCTGTATGCTAGTAAAGGGCCATAGACAGGATTTGAACCCAGTGCTGGCAGACTCCAGAACCCAGGCTCAGCAGCTGTCAGGAGTTGATGAGTCTTCTGAGACCATTAGAAGCTTAATATGGACAATATCCAAACTTGGGAGTCAATAAATCAATTGTCTATGCCCAAGGTGGGGAAAACTTGGCTTGGTGGCACTTTACGCCAAAGCAGCTGGCTGGGGACAGAGAAGGGCAGGGAAAGGGGCATTGCCCTGGCCACGGACTCAGTGCAGGGCAGTGGTGCAGGGGGCCCCAGGACACCTGGGGGCCTGTAGTTAGGCTGAGTGACAAGGAGCATGATATCCACAAGTGAGAGAACATGCCAATCACCTAACATTCCACAAACATTTTACCAACAATCTAGCATTACACCTTCCTAATAAATGTCCAAACAGCTACTAGTCAAGAAGGAAGAAGAGTTGATGCCTTTGAAGGTTGGTGCTGATGAAGGATATTGACTGTACCGTGGAGCCATCAGAACAACCAGTCTGTCCTGGAAGACGTCTGGCCAGAATGCGCCTTAGGACTGAGGATGGCAAGACTTCGTCTCACACACTTTGGACTGAACACGTTATCGGAGGAGCCATCCCTGGAGAAGGACATCGTGAGGGCAAAGGAGAGGGTCAGCGAAAAACAAAGACCCTTGATGACATGGACGGACACAGCGGCTGCAACAGTGGACTCAGACATAGCGCTGATTGTGACATGGCCCAGCTCCAGGCCGTGCGTTGTTGTTTTACATAGGAGTCCCTAGGAGTTGGCACTGACTCGACAGTGCTGTCTTAGTTACCTAGTGTTGGTCTAACAGAAATACTACAAGGGGGTGGCTTTTACAAACAGAAATTTATTTTCTCACAGTTTAGAAGGCTGACAGTCTGGATTCAGGACATCAGCTCTAGGGAAAGCTTTCTCTCTGAGTCAGCTCTTGGGGAAGAGCCTTGTCTCCCTTCAACGTCTGGGGGCCCAGCATTCCTTGGACATCTCCATGTGTCTTGGCATCAGTCTTCCCCTGGCTCTGAGAGGTTCTCAGCACAGGGACCCCAGGTCCAAAGGACGCACTCCCCTTCAGGCTCTTCTTTCCTGGTGGCAGTGAGGTCCCTCTCCTGTCTGCTCACTTTTCTCTCCTTTTATCTCTTGTAAGGTAAAAGGTGGGACTTGAGTAAGGGTGGGATTTGAGTAAGGGTGGGACTTGAGCAAGGGCATGACTTGGATAAGGGTGTGGCTTGGGTAAGGGTGGGACTTGGGTAAGGGCGTGACTTGAGTAAGGGTGTGACTTGGGTAAAGGTATGACTTGAGTAAGGGTGTGACTTGGGTAAGGGTGCAACTCAAGTCATACAGTCTTATAAAACTGTGACTCAAGATAGACCCCACACTAATCCTGCCTCATTAGCACGTAGAAGTTAGGATTTACAGCACATCTCAAAATGAAGGTTAATTACATAAGATCCCAAAATGGAGGACAACCACGCAACCCTGACCTACCGAAGTTGACGCATATTTTGGGGGGACACAATTCAATCCAAGACAACATCTAACAACAACAACACAGCATACACACAAACACCACAGACTTTCAAACGGCCCAACAACTGTCCTGATGTAAAGAAACTATCTCCCAACCTGACTCGTTGCAAACATCATTTTTGCCCAGCTTCCCAACCGCCCATCATAGGCATTGCACCATCCTCTAATTAGGAGAGAAGTTTCCATGGCGATGACATCAATGGCCACATGTGGCTACTGAACACTTGAAACGTGGCTAGCATGGGTGAGGAACTGAATTTTTTATTTTAATTAAATTTACATTATGATGAAGAACTGCCCTGAGCACTGTGCTCTTCTGAAATTCTGTCTCAGGGTTTAAAGAGTGTCTCAGGGTGACAGCCTCAAGGAGACCTCCGGTCTCTACTCTTCCAGTACGTCTGGATTTTTATAAAAAACAAGAATTTGAGTTCTGTCCCACATTTTTCTCCCCTTCTGTCCGGATGATCTACTGTGACCCTGTCAGAAGGTCAGTGGTGGTAGCCGGGCTCCATCTAGTTCTTCTGGTCTCAGGGTGGAGGAGGCTGTGGCCCGTGTAGACTTGTTTCTTCTCTGGGCTTTTGCTTTCCTTCTTACTGTTGCTCCTGGAGACTGGAGACCCACACTTGTGTCTTGGATGGTCGTTCGCAAGCTTTTAAGGCCCAGACGCTACTCACGTTGGAGGATGCACACAATTCTTGTGAACGATGGAGTGCCACTGACTGAGCTGTCCCACGAGACTCCGGTCTCATGCCTATTTACGGGAGCTGACTGCCAGGTAGCTATTTACGTTAATTTTCTTTTCCTGAATGAACTCTGGTGGTGCAGTGCCTAAGGCATTTGACTGCTAACCAGAAGGCTGGCGGTTCAAACCCACCAGCCACTCCTCGGAAGGAAGACTGGGCAATCTACTTCCATAGAGATACTGCCTCAGAAACCCAAGGAGGGGTCGCTGTGAGTCAGATTGACTCCATGGCAGTGAGTTTGGTTTTTTGTTGTTAGGAAACCAATGGCTGTGCCCGCTCAGAGGTGGCCGCCGACCTCACCTCTCTGAGTGTGTTACTCTCCAGAGCCTGGAGCATCCTTCCTCCTGGCTGCCCCAGCCTGGTGCAGGAGATTAGACTTGGTTGCTCTGTGGGGCCTTTGTTTATGGCAGTTACTGAACCATTCTGAACCAGTTCAAAGCCCTGATGCTGGAAAGGGAACAAATGGAACACGATTAAAGAGAGTGGTGACACACTGTGGTAAATGTGACTGAAGTCAGCAGATTATGTGGAAACTGTCAGATGGGGACCAACTTACTGTGTGAATTGTCACCAAAAACTCGATCAAATATTATGTTAAAAAAAAAAATAGGATTACAGCCAAGAAACCCTAGGGGGCAGTTCTACTGTATCTCATGGGATCTAGGCAATTCTACAATGTCTCGTGGGTCTGGGGCAATTCTACAACGTTTTGTGGGTCTGGGGCTATTCTATGGTATCTTGTGGGGTCTAAGGCAATTTATACTGTATCTTGTGGGGCCTGGGGCAATTCTATGGTGTCTCGTGGGGTCTAAGGCAATTTATACTGTATCTTGTGGGGTCTGGAGCAATTCTATGGTGTCTCATGGGGCCTGGGGCAATTCTATGGTGTCTCGTGGGGTCTGAGGCAATTCTACAATGTCTTGTGAGGTCTGGGGCAATTTGTACTGTATCTTGTGGGTCTAGGACAATTGTATGGTGCCTCGTGGGGCCTGGGGCAATTCTATGGTGCCTTGTGGGTCTAGGTCAATCTATGGTGTCTTGTGGGATCTAGAGCAATTTGTACTGTATCTTTTGGGGTCTGGGGCAATACTACAGTGTCTCCTAGAGTCATGATGAGTCGAAATCAATGATACCCAACAGCTACCACCACCTGCAGCTAGTGGCCACCATACTGGGCAGCACCACTCTGTCTTTCCTGGAGGCCCCGTCTGTGCAACCCCAGCCTGGCCCAGTGCCTCTGTCCTGGAAATGGTGGCCTCAGGCCATGAGAGGGAGCAGCGGTACCCTGCATTTCCCGAGTGCCCCTCATTGCCCCTGGTGATGGGGGAGACCCACCTCCCTGGACCTTGAGTGCGGCACCTGGGAGATGGTGGGCAGAGAGCATGGTCACACTCTGGGGACAGGAGCCTGGGTTCTGGACACAGTCCGGCATGGCCACCCCAACCCTGCCCCATGGCCAAGGACGGCCCAGTCACCTCTCAGGGCCTGGGGGTGAGGCCAGGTGACCTTGAAGAGCCTTTGCAACCTGGAAGTCACTGCTCTTTGATTGCCCGTCTGCAAAGAGGAAGCCTGGGGCCAAGGGGGAGTGCCAACTGGGCAGAGCCTGTGGATGGGGAAGACCTCTGAAGCAGGGACAGAGCAGAGGAGGGAGGAGAGAGGGCTGCCGGGCACAGGGACCCTGGGTCAGCACCGGGTCTTTGTGGAAGCAAGGCTATGCTTGTCACCACCCTGACCTGCCGTTCACCCTCCCTGCCTGTCTCCTGAGCTGTTACTAGACCACGGAGGGGGTGGGGGGATGAAACTGCACCCAAAGGTGGGGGGCCCGGGAGTCTGGAAGGCTCGGAAACTTGGGAGACTTGGGGAGCCTGGGGCAGAAGAGGAAGGGGTCCGAGCACGGCAGGGGGAGGAGGACGCAGGGCTCAAGGGCTGAGGCGGCCTCACCCCTCCCGCTGCTGCAGGAGGTCATGAAGCTCCTCACCACGCCAGAGCTGTGCAACTGCATCTGGACAGCCATTGACGGCCTGGGCTCACCCAGCCCCTTCCGAGTGCAAGCGGCAGCCGAGATGCTCCTGGCGGCCACCCGGGACCACGGAGCCAAGCTGGACACCGTGAGGGGCTTGGGGCACTTGCTGAGGGCTGGGCCAGCCAGACAGGGGCAGAGACATGGGCCAGGGGTCAGCAGCCAGGGCTCCTAGGGGTGCCCCTGGGTACAGGTCTGATGAGAGAGACACTGCCTCCCCTCTCAGACCCCCCAGGGCTAGGCCGGGCCTCCCCTCTCAGACCCCCCAGGGCTAGGCCGGGCCTCCCCTCTCAGACCCCCCAGGGCA